CCTGCTGAAGTGAATGTTTTTTGCCTGTTCGTGCTAATTGGGTTCAGCCAGTTTCAGGATGTGCTGGAAAGAGACGGCATCAGGTTTTTAAATACATTCATTGTAGCTGGTGTTTTTAGGGGGCTGCAGCTCCAGCTTGTGCTGCCAAACCTGTCCCCTGGTCACTGCTGATGAAACTGCAAAGGACAGCACAGGCTGTGTCCCTGGGAAGCTGTTTTCTGTGCTTGGTGTCCCAACAGCCCCACAGCAGGAGTGCTGCACACAGCTCCCGTGGTGCTCTCTCCATGCCAGCCTCCAGCTGTGCCAAGGCACTTGCTGTGCTTTGCCTAGAGCCCTTCCTGATGACCAGGAAACATTTTATTTAGTCTGTAGAGAGGATGAATTTATGTGCTGTAATGAAATGCTACTCCTGAAGTATTTTAAAGGAGCTGAAGGTTGAAATAACTAGCATGTAACTCTCACAAAATCACTTTTCTTCTAAGTGAAGTTTCCTTGATATGGTCAGTCCTAAACAGCTGAGACCTAATGGGAGCTCTAAAACCTCAGACCCTCTCAGGGACTCTGGAACTCTGCAGAGAAGCCACGTGCCAATCCAGCAAGATGAAGAGGGGCAAGCTGGAAACTTTTATAAGTGTTGGGAGCTTCTGAGGTGCTTACCAAGCTCTGGTTGTACTGGATATTATTTCTGCCCTTCCTGATTAGAAGTACTGCTCAACTCTTATTAATGCTGCTTCTGTTTCAAACAGGATTTCCCTACCGTTTCATCAGAAGATTCAAATATGGATTTTCCAGAAAGTGGAAGGAATATGTTGAGGAGTTTCTTATGGAAAGAAGAAGGTAATTTCTCTGGGGATTGTGTTTTGTTGCAGTGTCCCCTCACTATTTGTTGAAATTTTGCTTTTGAAGAATACTCTACTAGGGAGGTATGAAAGATAGTATATGTGTGCATGAAGACTGTTCCAGGCACAGAATGGTCACAGCTCTGGAAGGACATACACCCTTCACCTTTCCTCCATAGACTGGTCTGGGTTTGTTCCACTTGCTTACGTAGCCTTCAAGGGAAGCAAAGGGCTACACTGAGGCAGTGGCTCTCATGGTGACTAGGCACAGCTGCTCTGTGCTGTTGGGCTTTGCTGGGAGGAGGAGACAGAGCTAAGTTAATGTGCTGTTCACAGACAACTGCTTTGGGGGTTTATTGTTTTTTTTCTTGAACTCCAAATCATTAGGAAAGAACGCAAACAAAACACCAGTGAGGGTGAAGATGAAGACAGTGACTCGGTGGGTACGGACGTGTTGGAAAATGCAAAAGGCTCAGCAAGAGATGTAAAGAAACCTGAAACCAGGAACACCACCTATGAAGTGTCACCGAAGAATGGTGAGAATGCTTGTGGGTATTAACTACTCCTTTTCTTTGGAAAAAAAGTTTTTTTAAGAGGTATTTTCCCCAGCAAAAAATACCTAATATCTGTCTGTTTTCTATCTTGTTAATTAGGCTGAATGGAAGAGGTAATAAACTAGTTGGGTGAAGTTATTTGTGTTCACTTAGACCACAATCAAGATCATTGAACATTGACTTGCTTATTTCTGGTTCACTGATGTCTCTCTTGGTCTGTAGTAGCTGAAGGCAGTGACTCCAAAGCTGTTTGTTCTGACAGCACACGACACAATTTTTTCCCATTTGCTATTTTGCATAACATACTCTCTTCTTGATCCTTCTGGGACACCTGTGGGATTTAATACCTCCATCAAGGCTGGTCCTTGGGCAGGCTTATTTTATGGCACCTTAATGTTTTTGCCACAATTGAGGCATAAAGAGTGATAACTAGGAATGGATGGAATGGATTGTGGAAAATCCATTACATTGGCTTTGCTTTCAAAGGAAATGGTTGTAAAGCCTTAACCTATTGATCCTCCTCCTTTTTCTTTGCCTTGTAATGCAATCCCAGCTTTGGGAGGGACACTAACAACTTTTGGGTTTAACTTCGACTTCTTCTTAATATCTGGTTCTAAGTTCCAGTAGAGCTTTGGCCAAACTTCATTTGTTAATACTCTAATCAGATTTTCTTGCTCACACGATAAAAGCTGTTTTATATTTTTCTCTCATTACAGTTAGGATTAGTTCAGTGTCAGAACTTTTCTCTATCATTCTACTTCCCTATATGATTTTTACAGTATTTATGACCTTTAAACAAAGTCAAGTTTACCGTTGTGAGCTTTTAATTCTTACAATTTGTGAAGATTATTCCTTTGGTCATGTTAAGGTATGTTTAAAGGAACAACATCATGTTGTAGTAAGTTTAATGTTTTCTGTGTAGTCGGTACCAATGAGCTGGCTTCAACCCAATATTGCTCCTATGCTTGTGAAGTCAGCAAAGGTGGAATTTCAGTAGAGTATTTGGGACAAAGCTGTATTGCTTGTTTTTTCTGGCAGCTGTGACACCACCCCCACGGGACAGTTCTGTGCTGAACGACGGAGTTTACACGCGCAGCGGGCGCCGCGTTCAGCCGCCGCTGAACTTCTGGTGTGGGCAGCGAGAGTTTGTGGATCAGGAACTCAACGTCACTGTCCAACAGGGTGGGATCGACTATTTGAGCATGGTAAGAGGCTTTTGCAAATTGCTGCTGAAAGGTGCTGAAGTGGCTTTGGCTGCCTGCGTGGGTGTGAACACCTGAGTTCATAACAAGAGCGTTAAGTAGATCCTGGGCGATGCAGGTGACTTGTAAACCCACCCATCCTGTAAACATTTGGCTTTTTCAGAGCTGGCATCGGTAGGCTGGGTATGTAATCTCTTGCAGAAGTTTAGATTAAACTGTTTTATTTTGAAGATGTTCAGTACCACAAAACACAAAAAACCCACCAGATCTACCTCTAAGAAGAATACAGGAAAGAAAGAAATGAAGACAACAGAAGAAACATCAAAAAGCCAAAGTAAAGGTAAAAAACTGGATTTTTCCTTTTTTTAATTGCTGGTGATGAGTTGTGTGCCAGAGCAGCCTGGTGATGTCTTGTTAATGCAAAGAAACTGTTCAAGTATTTTAATGGTCAGTTGCTTCTTCTATGAAGGATTATCAGAGTGCCATTAATGCCTAGTTTTACAGCTCCAGATATAAACTATTTACATAATGGGAACATGCAGACTTGTTTCTGGAATAGGAAATGAAAAGATGGTATTTTTGACATTTCTGCTCCTCAACACAGCTACTACATGTGGCCTGAGAGAGCCTGAAGAGTTCACCAGCCCACTCAACTGATTTTAGGTCTGGCTTTACTTTTTAAACTGGATTAGTTAAATTAAATTTCTGTGTAGACAAAAAAAAAGTAAATTTTAAAACCTTGATTTTTAATAAAAACTGGGACACAATAGAACCCTGACAACAATGTAAATATAAAGAAGTTACTCCTTTAAACCAACTGTAATGTCTCCTGCAGAAAAACTATTTGCAGCACAAGCTTTTGGGATGTTGTTGTTTGCTCAACCTCAGCAGTAGCATTTTAGCAACATTTTCTGCTGACTATTTTATCCTCTCTGCTCAATGCTTTCATGTTCCCTTTTGTAGCTTTGATAATCCTTTGTAGCCTTCATAAAGGGAGCTGGACTCAATGATCCTTATGGGTCCCTTCCAATTGGAGATAGTCTGTGGTTCTGTGACAATTCCTTTGATTGTTTGGGGGCAGCCTGTCATGGGAGCCAGCTGGGTAGAAGCAGGGATGTCCCCACTGCTGCTCATCTCCCTTGAGCAGGGGACACTTGCTCAGAATGAATTCAGTTTGTGCTACAGGTTTTTTGTAGGAATCCTTTGTAAATGGGTTTTCCCTGCTTCTTGAGTGCCAGGCAGTGGAATGGGCTGCCTGCTGGGACATGCTGTCGTGTCTCTGTCATGCAGCCTCTTGTTCCTAGAGAATTTAATCCCAAATACACAGGAGTATGAGGGCAGAAGCCTTTACTGATCCTCCTGTGATGCAGATCTGGGAAAGGAGGTGCAGTGATCTCGGGAAGCTGGTGCTGGTTCTCAGTAAAGTTGTGGACACCCCTAACAGCAGAAATGAGTTGATGGTTACCTGTCAGGTAGACCTCTGGGAAGGGGCTGCAGGTGACTTGTGCCTCACTCCTCCTCCATGGGGAAGGGGTGGGCAGCACAGGGCATGATGGATGTTTCCAGGCATCCCTCCTTCTCTCTGACGTTTTGCTGTGTTTCCCACCAAAGCAGTGCTTGGTTTATTTTTGTATCCCAAAGTGACCATTCAACAGAATCTCTTCTTGTCCTGAGGAGCTCCAGGGCTGTGTTCATGTGGGGAGAGGCTTCAGCAGAGCACAGGGAGCTACACTGCACAGCTCCTCCTCTGGAACAGACAGGAGTTCACAGATCTTAGGGAGTGTGGGACATGGTGCATCCTGCAAGGCTGGTCCTTGCGTGGCTGAGAACACCACGATGATTTCTGTTACTTCGTGTGATTTTCCACTGAACTCATCTCTTTCAGGGAAAAACCATGAGAAAGAAGTAAGTTCCATAAGAGAGACCAAGTCTGCTGGAAGCAAGGAGGCCAGGCGCTTTGTTTCAGATGATGAGGAGGGTGATGGTGCAGTCACTAGAACAAAAGCTAAAGCACAGCTTTCTGTCAGGCTGACTCCCCTGAATACTGCAGCACTAAACGAACATCACTCCAAGAGCAGAACCTCAGCAGTGACAAAGGAAAAAGGAGGAACAGAGTATCGAGAACTGACTTTGTCTCGGGAGACTTTCAGGTACTCTTTAAGGTCAGTCAAACCACTTCAAGGCAAGCATTTAACAGAAAAATCATCAAGCAAAGATGAGGAAGAAGAATCCAGTGAAGATATGCCACTGTTTATCAAAAGGAAGAATAAACCTCTATTAAAACATGAGGTGCAAAACTCTAAACCTTCCTCTAACTATAAAAGTTCCCAGCATGATGCAAACAAGGTGCCATGTGAACAAAGGGCAGCAAAACACTCTGCTGCCTCCCTTGATGGGCCCTTGAGGCAAAGTGTGACCACATCCACTGATGGTTCTGATTTATTTGAAGGAAAAACAACTAATGAGTCTAGTAATTCCCATCTGCCTGATAAGGAAACAAGGACAAGAAGAAGAACCAACTCACAGACTTACTTGCTTTCATCTGACACTGAGTCTGAAGCCAGTGAAGAGGAATTTCAAGTAAAAAAACAAAACACAAATGCATCTGGCAAAAAACCAAACTGTCAAGTTTCTCATACTGCCAAGTCTTCAGCAG